TGGATGCAAAAGCAATCCATTTGCAAGTAGGCAAGTGGGTAGCCCCGCCTGATCTGCTGAAGAGTTATCGGTCCCATGTCCATTGGCCTACTTAGCAAGTGCCGACTGTCCAACTGTTAGTTGGAGAAGACTGTTGGCAGCTATAGCTGCCACACCAGTTAGTCGAAACGACTGTGTTGGTGTGTCTTTATGCGTGTTTCAAAAACAAGTATACCAGCCCTCAAAACAACGACGGTCCTATGTCGGCTTAGTCTGTTCTACACACGGGTGTACAAATACATTCATTTTGCCTGCCAGCCATGCAAATGCGCTGAAGTGCGCTTGATTTATCGAAGGAACAAGAACTACACCGATTCATATTTAACTGAAATGCACCAGTTGTTTCACCGTCTCTTTTCCATGGCCCCCCACGTCGCATCATATTGGTCACTTGATTGAGGTGTTTTAAAAGGAGAAAAATATTCCGTTCTTGTGCACTACAAACTCGTCCATGTGAGCTTAGACCCGAGGCCTATCCCCTTAAGTTGTATTTTTGAAACTGTTTACATATGTGAGTTGTGTGGTTTCGGTCTTCTGACCTGTGCCTTTGCGGTCATAGGCTATGATCAATCATCACTCCTATAGTTGTGAAAAGTCAACGTAGGTCATGGCCACTACAGTGCCGAGACGGAGTAGGGCAATCTGGACCTTTGTATTGTGCCCGTTCATGGTCCCTATAGAGCAGTCCACAAGCAAGTAGGCAAGTGGGCAATCCTGCCTAATGCAATCAGCGGTCCCCGGCCCCGTGTCTACCTGTCCTGGTCAGCCATGCACAAGTCATCAATCCTACCTACAAAATTGCAACACAAAAAAAAACATATCTTCCCATTCAAAATCCTGCTTTGTTTTTCATGTGTACATTGCTAACCATGCATTTCCTTGCATGTCATGTCCTTGTCGTCATCCACAAATGCTCTTTCAAGACGCTCCATATCCATCGACCACTATGCAGCACGTTCCTGTTAAACCAATCAGCCGCTTGTCTGTCTCCTTTCCACACATCATGTCGACGACTTGCTCTCTCCAACCCTGGCTAGAGCCTCGTCCCCTTTAACATTCGTTTTTGAATTCCACTCACAGCTTCCCATTCAGCTTTGTTCCTATGTCGCCAGACCTTTTGATATTGTCAGACCTCTCTTCTTCTTCTCTTGCCCTGTCAGCTTCATCAGATGACATTGTCCCTTTTCATACGCTGCTTATAGATCCGCCCTTGCACAAACACTCCCACATTTCTCCACAACCCTCCACCGCCTTCGAGTCGTCCTTCATACCATCACAGAGCGGCCAAAACACTTCATTGTTGTCTGTCAACATCCACATGGATCCATCACACGATGATACAGACCACACTCCACTTTGTCCTTATGTCCCTGTGCACAACAGCGATTGCTTGTCGCAAACACTTATTGATAATTACTCGGACCTCCTCATGTCTACCATACCTTCTGTTGTTGTGCTTGATTGCTTGACATACACCCATGGCATGAAAACCAGAGACTATCAATATGTCGCCCGCCGACTCTGCAACTGTTTACACACACATCTCATGTCCACACTTACACATCTGTTCATTCCCATCCACGTTGACAACAACCACTGGGCGTTGGGCTGCTTGGATTTCATTCACTATCATGTTTTGTATTACGACAGCTTATACTTTGACGACAGTGGCTTCTTGCACACACTCCGGGACTGGCTGGATTAACAGATTTGGATTTTGGCGAATTTCCTCGATGCGCCATATACCATAATTCACGACCCTATCCAAACCAATGACGTTGACTGTGGAATGTTCATGCTGCTGATGATCCGTCACCTGCTGCTTCACAATTTCCTCCCTCATCACCCCCCATTCTCACAGACCGACATTCCTTTTTACAGAAATGTCGTCCACAATGAATTGCAGACTCGCCATCTGCAAAACCATTATTCCGCACCAGTCTCTCTCGTTTGCTGTCCGTCCGGCGCCGCTCTGCCAATGACCCACGCTTTGACCTCTCAACGGGTCTGATCGGCGCGACCTTTTGCTTGGCTTCTTCATGGACTTCATGCATCGCGGATGCTGATGGTCATCAACATACAGCTCCTTCTGCACTTCCAAGGTAAATACTCTACCAGTCCGATCCCTTTTCTTCCACTTTCCCTGCAACTTGCTTATGTGAATTTTTGTCTACCTTGAATACGTGTTTCTGTCTTCAACAATGCTCTACATTACTTCTTTATCGTCAATCTCAGAACACCTGCTCTCCTCCAACCGCTTCGCATTTTGTCCTGTCTATTGAGCTTGTCAATGACAATGTCCCCTCGTATGCACTTTCATCCCTGATCCTGATTGTGGCTACCTTCCGTATCTTCACCCCTGTCTTCCCGGCGGCACACACAAACCCTCCATGCACCCCGACCTCACCCATATATAGACAAGAAAAAGACAGGGGACGTGACCTAGGAGAATGTTCTTGTAACTGTGTCACAAAATACCTATTGACCCCACTTCCCCCCGCTACGCCTACAACCCCACTTCCCCCCAATGGACTGCATTTGCTTATTCTTATGCTTTATTTATTGAAACTAATGTACACTGCTAATTACAAACATACTTGCATCTGTTGCCGTCCTTGTCATGAACAGGTGTACTCTGAAGATAGCCACTATGCAATGTATTGCGATCAGACCCGTCAACAACACACCCAGTCTTTCTCGGGCACTCATCATGTCGGGTCCACATGTCGTACGACTCAGATGCCATCTTGGTCAGGGGAGAACAACGTCGCACATCCAACAATACCACTTGAATGGAGTGACTTTCATGACATTTTGGTCTCACGCTATTCAATTCGCAGTGTGACCAATAAAACATATTATCTCATGCTCGACGACGTCGACATTCGCTACATCCATGCAATTGTTGTCAGACTATACACTCACCGGATTGACTGCACCGTCTGGGTTCGAGGTGATGAAACGTTTTTTTGCCATGACCCGACTAACCTCCTCTGGGTTGCCATTCATATTCTCGCTAGACGTGTCGCCATCATGACATTGCGTGCTGTTTGCAATATGTTGCCTTGCTCCGTTGGTCTGACCACCTTCCGTTTTGGAACCTTGTTCGGTAACAACAGAGACTATACGGCTCTTATTCGATCCATGAGATTGGCTGAGGGTGGATATGTCATACGCACGCTGCAGGAGATTGATATTCTACACATGCATGGACATTCCGCCTGAAGTCCGCAGCAACATATGCTTAGGATGGCGACTTTTAAATTACATTCCATTTACGAATGAACATATATGTAGCTTCAGATTTTGTGTCAAAACCAATGACAACTTTCTGTGTCAAAATAGGTATACAGGTTTCCCATTTGTTATCACTGTCACAAACTCCTGACATGTACATTGTCCATTATACCACTAGTGTATTTCGAGGTTTGCTGTCTACAATGTTCCGGTGTTTTGAACTTTCTATATTGATAAGTATACACTTGCATACTTGCCAATGAACTGCTTTGTAGAACAAAGTTAGAAGGAAAGGAGGAGCATGAGCAATGAATCTAGGGAAATTTGACTGGCCCTCCCTTGACTCTTCTCTACAATAGACTATTATAATTTCATTCTTGTTTCATGAAACTCCATTGAGATTTTCGAAATAGTTCAAAGTGCTAAAGCCAAACGGGTATGTTCATCAGTGACTCTTTGCTCCCCCTGGTCCATCTTTTTTTATTCTTCTTCTCCCCCAGGTCCTATTCGTCCTCTGCTCCTCTCCTCCTCGACCCCCATTCTCTCTCCTCATTATCCTCCTCCTCCTCCTCCCATCCTTCCCTCCTCCCGCTCCTCCTCTCCTCCTGCTCCTCTCCTCCTGCTCCTCTCCTCGTGCTCCTCTCCTTCGTCCGCTTCCTTCTGCTCTCCTACCCTTCTCCTCCCCCTCCTCTACCTCCTGCCTGTCCTTCTGTCATATTCTTCTTCTCCTGTTCCTCCCCCCCTCCTCCTCTCCGTCTTTGTCTTCATCTTCTCCTCCTTCCTCTTCCTTGTCACCTTTCTTTATTTATTTTTATTTTTATTTTTCCAAAAACATCTGCTGCGACCTTCTATTAGAGGTGACACAAGCATCCTACAATCGCAGGCGACGCTTTATACATAGCTCCAATCTGTTGGTGGGGAGCGTCGCCTGTAGGAAACAGGGTCCAGCTTCCCGCTGGCAAGATCAGCCTCGATATACCTGGCAAATCAACATCGGTTACCCTCTCGCGAGGGGTTTGTCTGTCCGCCCACTTATCAGCCAGAACTATGCAAACAAGTTGCTGATGGATACGGATTATCGCCTGACAAACTTTTTAGTCCCATGTGCCATGACCGTTCTGAGGAGAGCCGATTGGTGCCTCACCATTTTTGCTGTCTGTTCACATGCATATTGCAGAAAATCGCAAGTTTCCGAACAATATTCTGTTTCTCCCCAAAAATCCCTCTCTGATGCCCACACTGCGACGCCCACATGGGTCGAAGTGAACTGAGAGGGCAAAGATCAGCCATGGCCGACACTTACTTGAAAAAGAGTGTCAGCAGCCATAACTACCGCATCAGTTGGTCACAACTAGTATGTTCGCGTGTGTGCATGCATGGTGCGTCCTGGTCGAGTGTGTGTGTGAGTATGCAAACCGGTTACTACTGCATACAGATGATCACGTGAAAAACTTGGTGTGGATTAAAGTAGGACGGTCCGAGCCTTTGGGACTCGTTAGACACTCCTCGGGCGCTCAAAATTCCCGAGGAAATGATCGTTTCATCTGTCCTCGGAGAGAGTTCCTTGGAAACCGATGTGGAAACATTTCCTCGGGGTGTCCTCGGGGCATCCTCGGGCCACAGCCATTTGGCTGCGCTCCCCAAGGTACCTCGCGAGGTCCCTCGGAGTGGGAGTTTCCGCGAAAATCGGGACGGTGACGGCACAGTTTTGTAGTGTGGTACAACGGTGGTCCAGCCGAGGTGCGGGCGAACATTACCGCCCGACAACGTTCGACTTCGGTGGGGACAGCGGCAACGGTAATGAAGAGTGGCGGACGGGGTCCGCGGAGGGCCCGAGGTGACCCGGCCCCTCGCACGTGCCGGCGGGAAACGGACAGGCCTCCGACGGGCAGCTGTTTCGAAATTCGTCGGGCTGTACGTCCGTCGCCGAAAGCAGAGGTCCGCAATGTAAACCGGTGGAGGGCGTCATCAGCCATCACTTGCCGTCTGCTGTTTGTCGCCCTCAGGTTGGCCGTTACGCTGCGGTTGTCTTACATGGCCGACGTGTTCCGCAAGCTGCTGCTGCTCCTCCTCGTCGTGATTCTGCTTGTTGTTGTCGTCTTTGTTCAGGTGTGCATATTGGGGAGGTTGCCTTCACGTACTCGCAGGAAAGGAGGGGCGAGAAAGAGCGTGGCCATGGACGGGAGGCGGCCGAATCTGAGGACGTTGTCCACCCCTAATCCCGGCAACCGGGCTCCGATGTGTGCTGGTGTAGACAGAATGGCGGCAGGTCCGCCACCGTACGAAGGACTGCCGCCTCACTTGCAACCGCTGCCCGATTCGGACGAGGGGGAGGCAAAGGTGGGCGTGTCGAGGACAGTTCCGCTTGGTAGCGGGTCTACCCAGGAGTGGACGGGTAGCCAGTTGTATGATCGCCGCGGGGCGAAGTACGGGCAGTCGTTCACTTCCCTCCTTCACGACGGCGCGGAGGAGGAGGAATGCCTCCCCCCTGTCGATCTCACATTTGGCCTCCAGAGCGGGAGGCCGTCTTCTGTCATGCGCACTGTGCTCATGAACCCTCATCCCGACGACGACGCGGGGAAGGTCACATTCAGCGGCAGGGGCACGAGGGGCGGAGCGGCGGCAGAGGTGACGTCGGGGAAGACGACGACATGGCCTCGAACGCAGGCGACTTCTGGCCCGTCGGTTCCACGCACTGTCGGACAATGTCCTGAGTGGATGACCCTAATTCCTCCGTTGTTCGGGGCGCGCGACGACGTTCGTCATCCCGTAGATCGGACTGTGACTCACGAAGACTTCCCTTTCGAGGGCGCGCATGGAGATGGCAGGCGGGTGTGGAAGGAGGCGAGGCAGGAGTTGCGGCGGCAGCAAAAAGAGTCCATAATGCAAGGTGTGGAGCGTTTACGCGAGGGGGAGCAAAGTGGGCAAGCAGACGTGGCCACCGGGGGGGGTGACGCGTGGACAAACGTTGGCGAAGTTTAGTGCAACGTAGACGACGACGACAGCGGCGACGTGTTCCCGTTGCGTGCGCCGAACATGGGTGGGAGGGGCGGCAGGGGCAGCACTTCGACTAGAGCGGTGCGCAGGCGGACGAGGACGTCCACGACCTCTGTAGACGCGGAAGGCGAGGGGGATGGGGAAGGAGGGCGGAATTTTTGATCCGTGGAACACATGGTGGCCCTAATCAGGGCGAAGCGAGATCAGGACGCCCAACTGCAAGCGTCGGGACACAACTTCGCTCGGATGCGGACGAGGGAGTGGAAATGGTTGGACGTTCGGGAGAGGTTGCTGAAGGTCGGTGTCGACAGGCCGGCAGACAAAGGCGGGAAAAAATGGGACAATCTCATGCAGCAGTTGAAGAAGGTCCATGCTTTCATGGGCATGTTGGGGAAGGAGGACTTCTTCCAGTTGACGAGTCAGCAGAGGGCAGAGAAAGGATTCAACTTCAACATGGATCGAGCCGTATCCGAGGAGATCAAAGGGGCGAGCGAGAGGAGCCACACTATCAGCCCGACCAATGTTGCAGACACTGGCGGGGCAGGGGGTGTGCAACTCCCATTTGCATAGTCGGCGACTCCGGAATCTATGGGGGATGGGGAAGCCGCCGGTGATGGAAACGACGAAGACGACAACTCAGCACGGGGTGGCTCACAGACGAGTGGTGGCCTGGCCGGGTTCGGGAAGAGGAAGAATGTGCGACAACGGATATTCGAGGCGTTGTCGGAGTGCATGGACAAGCATGGGGCATTGATGGCATCGACAATGGAGAGCGGCAGCAGGAGGCAGTGCGAGATGATAGAGAGCGCGAGCAAGAGGCAATGCTCCATCCAGATTCGGCAGTGCGAAGCTATCGAAGCGGAAGTGGAGATCCAGAAACAACACTCTGCTGCCTCCACTGAAGTTAGCAAGCTTATGTGCCAGGCGCTGCTAGAAATAGCGAAGGCTATACGAGAACGGTAGACACGTGCGACCGTCGGAGGTCATTGGTCGGCTATGGCCGTCACATCATTGTGAATCTGTTGTCGTCGACCGTAGCCGGATGGATGTGGACGTTGCTCGTGCCTCATTTTTTTCCATGGATATGAGAGAGAGAGAGAGAGAGAGAGAGAGAGAGAGAGAGAGAGAGAGAGAGAGAGAGAGAGAGAGAGAGAGAGAGAGAGATTTAATGTATAGGTCCTTTGGATCAATTTTTGGTTGTGCGTTGAGGATAACAATTCTTTTTTTCGTTTTGGTATTTTTTTTCCTTTTTTGTTCTTTTTTTTTCATATTGCTTCATGTTTGCATTCTTGAGACGAACATCTGTGTAGTGAAACGACCTCCTTCATGTGAGGGCGGGGGTGTTCGTCGTTGCGGGGGTGTGTTTCAAGGGATACTGCTCAATGACAGCACGTGGGAGGGAAAACGGGATGCGAAAGCATTGATCCCGCGAAGGCATCCCCTTTGGCCTGCCCCCATCCGTGACCACATCACCGACCAGTAGACGGCCCCTGTTCCGTACCGCCAAACGGTGCCTTCGACACGTGCACCTTTTTTTATAAACTTTGCGGGCGCCCATCCACCGATCAGAGAACACAGCAGTCCACTCCACGCACTTCTGGCGGCATTGTCGCACGGCGCATTGCAGGGCAGTGGACGTCGCGCTAGGGCAGGCGACACGCCTACTTCCTTTCAGTCGGACGTCGTCTCGGTCATCGTCGCCAACTGCGCCTGGACACCTCGTCGACACTTTTCCTTCTCTCCGGACGCCGTGTTCGTCTTCGTCGCCAAATTCGCTTGGACACGTTGTCGTCGTTCCAACTTGCCCAGCGCGCGTCTTCGTGGCTGTTCGACAAGGCGTCGTTGTGGCGAGCGCGTGGCAGTCGGGTCATCAGTGTCACTGTGAGATACGCGTCGTCCGCCGTCTGGCGTCTGTTCAGTCCAACGCAGATAGCGGCAGGTTGTGCGGCCTTCAGCAGTCTCCTCCACCAGCCGTCCGCCATCGACGTCGTTCGTCTTCACAGCGGTGACAAATACGCGCAATGCAGCGAAGGGGAAAAGGGGGAGGGAGTCTAATCAGGGCGAAGCTGCTACCGCCGTCAAGCGGGGGAGGCATCAGTGCCGTGTGCTTTATAATTTGGAAACGTGCTGTTCTTCTTTCCGTCTCTTCAGCCCGGTTCGATACGTGCTCGTCTTTTGTGTTGGCATGCTTCCAGAACGCAAACCAATTGATCCTTCCCGTCCTTTGTATATTGCACATGTTTTTTTTTTTTTTTTTTTTTTGGAGTTTTTTTTTTTTTTTTTTTAACTTCACTTGTTTTCGGAATTGCATGTGAAGATCATTGTGCGATGACCATTGATCATTGTCGTTTGCATATCGTTTGTTTTTATCACAACGCGCACTCATCCACCAAACACTGGCAAACCTAGGACGAAGACGCACACGAATGAAGGCAGACACAAAACTGTTTTCCTGTGTCTTTACGACTTTCATTTGTCTATATCAACACATGTAAACACCATTCGATTGCGCTCGCAGACTTCTTTTTTCACACGTCAGCATGCCATCCATGCAGCAGGGAGTGTGTAGGAGAGGAAAGAAAACAGTCGCCAACAAGCGATAACACTTTGCGATCACAACCCAACAATCACCAAATCCTTGCGAATTAAAAAAACACACTGCCGACATGATTGCTTTCCGTAGAATGTCCTAAACGAGCCCCAAGGCATGCACACGACTGCCGCTCGCGACAGACAACAACTCCATCTCAATGCCGTCAACTAATCACATTAACCAGCCACCGCCGCCGCTTCCGCCGCCCAACGACTCGCCCACACTAACAGGGAACGCCCCACTATCAACGCACCAGCCCGAAGCCGCGGATCGAAACACAAAAAGGAAAAACTTCCGAGAAACTCAAAATCGGACGGCATATGGCGCGGGGACTACACGGGATGACTGTCGCTCTCCGCTCTGCGTCCCGCACTGCCGACCGAAAATTGGACGGCATGGCACATGTACTACGCCCGTCATCTCTCCGCACACTGCTTCCTCCCATAGCCGCCGTCAAACGTTCCTCCATCGACGTGGCCCACAGCTCCCGCCCCACGCGGCGTCCTCTGCCGTCATCGCCGCACCATTCACTCCGCCAGCGCCTGGCGCAGCATGATCGTCTCCCCCGTAGAAGTTTCCATGCACAACGACAAGGGGGGGCGATGGATACCGAGATCCACCCGACGGCGAACTCCATTGGCGTCAACCTCCCACAACAAGTTCTCGTTGAAAGGGATGTCGGCGTCGATCAGGATGTTGTGCAAGATGCAGACGGCCACGAACTGCTGGGGCAAGGTCTCCATGTTTGTCTTGTGCGAACCTAGGAACAAGCGCCACATTCGTTTCAGTCTCCCGAATGCCCTATCCACTGCCCCCCTCGCGGTCTTCTGGTTGCTGTCGAAACGACTCTTCAGGGGATGCTGCGCCACACCGCCAAACGGGACAACCATCCATTCGCTCGGCGGGTAACCATTGTCGGCCAGCAAATAACCATTCGCCTGCACTTGGAACGGTAGCAGCACAGGAGGCCCTGTAAACAACTCTCCCGCCGCCGCCCGCGACCATAGACTGGAGAGATGGATGATCCGGACGTCGTGGCAGCTCCCCGGATATCCCACGAACACGTCCAGTATGCGCAAGTCCAAGTCGACCACCACTTGAGCAACGATAGAGAATCATCTCTTGCGGTCGTAGTAGGCTTCTGCAGGTGCATTCGCCGGCTTGTCGACGTAGATATGGGTGCAGTCGATGCACCCATGGCAGTTCGGGAAACCCTTGTCTGCAAAAGCACGCAGAATGATCGCCTTCCGCACCCCAGTCGGCCACGCCACCTTCTCTCTGTACACCGAAAGCAGCGCAGCAGTAACGTCCCGGACGACCACCAAACTTGAAGCCCTGCCAATCCCAAAGCTGCAGCTGCTGCTCTCGTATGTCTCGCCCGACGCCCACCTGTACAGCGCGTAGGCGACGATCTGGTCTGGTTACAACGACTCCATATAGAACGTCACACGTCGCTGGAGAATCGGCGACAAGTTCTCAACGATCTCGCGGAAGACACGTGGAGACATCCGTAACTTGTCGCGGAAGTAATCGTCAGTGGCGTCGTCCGCAGGCCGAAGATCCTCCCAAGTCCCCCCCGTCCTCCTTTTTACCCACCACCTCGGCGTCGCCCTTGGTAGTCCCCCACACCCCAGTGCACAGCACACCTCCAACACGGCATCACAGATGGCAGCGCTATCCAACGCTTCAGTCGTCGCCGCCGGCATCAACTTCCTTCTCCGAGCACGTAGTCGTGCCCACCGCCGTTGACATTCGACCTCCATGTCGCAATGCATGATGACGGCGGCTACGGCAGACGTCATGGCAGCCCTCTCCAGAGCGGACAACCGGGCCCCGACGTCATCCCCTTCACCCACTCCACGCACATGGACTACCTCAGACATCGCAGTCATCCTCGCGGAGTGAACTCGCCCAACACTCGACCGGACGCCGCCAGCAATGGACACTGCCCACGAGCAAGTTGGCGGAGATGGTGGTCGTGCAGCGGTGCGCGAGGATGATCGAGCAAGGCGGAACGCAACGCTCCCAACAGTCGACGGAGGGCCACGGAGAGCCATCTCTTCAAATACGTGTGGAACATTGTGCTGACGCCACAACGGCTAGCGGCTCCCCCGCGTGACGCCCACTGCAAAACCCCTCAGAGTCCCCCATGGGGTCGCCCCAAGGTACCCGCATGTCCCCGCGGAACCACACCGCACGGCATGGTCGGCCGATTCAAAATTTGAATTTTGAAAGTACATGCGCGCGCGCGGATTTTCTTCCCCATTGCGGCGGCGGCAGTTCCTTTTCGAATTCGAAGGCCAAACGCGGTGGACCAAGGCCGCTTGCACTGACACCGGACGATGGACCACCGCCCAAACTTTCGTCCCACGGCCGCGTATAAAATTATATGTCTTCCCGCGGCCAGTCCTCCGAGCATCCTCGGGCGTCGTCCCGAGGGAGCAGTGGAACGAAAGCGGGAAAATCCTCGGGCTGCCCCGAGG